GGTTGGGCTAGTGTTTTGTTATAAGACAGCCTGAAAGAGGAGGTCCATGAGAGGGGAGAGAGGGTAACAGGAAGCAGGGCACCTAGGACTGTGTCACGTGACCTGGTGTGGGGGTACAGGGTGAGGATGGAGCGGGTGGGACGCAGGGGGGGAGGGGGGGGACGTTTGAGAGACGGGGGAGGAGGGGAGGGGGGGGATGGGAGGGGAGCGGAGGGGGAGGAGTGGGACGGGGAGGCGAGGGGAAAAAAAGGGTCAGGGTCAAATATGTCACCAAAGGAGGGGGGAGCGCTAGGGACCGAGGCGACGGGGAGTGGAGGAGGTGGAGTGGGGGGAAGGATGGGAGGGGGAGGGAGAAGAGGGGGTGCGATAGTCTCGGACCAGGTGAGGGGCCTGGGAGCAGGGACGAGAGGGTCAGTGGGGGGAGGAGTGGAATAGTAGGATGTGGACGCATCAAAGACCACATCCCGACTGCGGAGGAAACGACCTGAGGGGGGGTGAAGGAAGAGGTAGTCTGAGGAGGAGGGGTTATGACCAAGGAAGGTGCAGGGGAGGGTACGGGAGGCGAGCTTTCCCATGGTGCGGGGGCGGTCCGCAGGGTGAATGAGGACATATGCCCGGGAGCCCCACACACGGAGGGAGGAGACGTCAGACTTGGCCGACGTCCAGAGCTCGGTGGGAGTGGTGGAGGGAAGGATGGGGTGGGGGTACAGGTTAGTAAGGAGTGTGGCGTGAAGGAGGGCATAGCCCCACAGAGAAGGGGGGCAAGAGGCATGGACGAGGAGACACCGAGCAATCTTGGTGATCTCCCGAACACGGCTCTCGGCCACACCATTCTGTTGGGGGGAGTGGGGGAGGGTGTGAGTCTGGCGAATGCCATGAAGCTCACAGTAGGAGGCTACCAGGCGATTAAGGAATTTGCCACCGCCGTCAGAGTGAAGGCGGCGGACAGGGCGGCCAAAGTGGGTGCTCGCCTGCTTGAGCCAGGCGATGATCGCAGCCGGAGCGTCACCCTAAACCCTTTGAGCAAAGAAGGGAGACGGACGAATATCGGCTGTGATCGTCGACCAGAACAAGCATATAGCGATGGCCCTGGCGGGAAGGGGAGGGGTTGGGGCCCCAGAGGTCCATGTGAACAAGATCAAGCGGCTGAGCAGCAGCGGAAGGGGAACTCCGATGCGGCAGCTGCTTGAGCTTGCTCTGGACACAGACGGAGCAAAGAGGTGCAAGGGAGGGAGGGAGGGGAGGGAGGGTGAGGGGAAGACCTCGAAGGAGACCTGAGGAGACGGTCGAGCGCAGGGTGGCAAAGTTGGGGTGACCAAGCCTGTGCTGGAGGAGGACGGTGGGATGGGAGAGGGATCGACAGGAGCAGGTTGGGTCAGGGGGGAGTGGGGGAATGGTTGGGTTAGAAGGAGGGAGAGGAGGGGGGGGGGATGTGAGGTGGGGGGAGGGAGCGGGAGACTGCCTGGGCAGAGGGAAGTCGAGGAACTCGAAGGGTATATAGGCGGGAGCGAGGACAAAAGGGAATACGGGAGAGGAGGCGACCTGTGGGATGGTATAGGAGGCAGTGATTGGCGCGACCTGGGAAGACGGTGGTGATACTGGCCTGCTGCAGGGATCGCTGGGAGAGGAGGTTAGTACGGAGGGAGGTGATGTGTAAACCAGTGACGATACCTGAGGGGAAGAGGGGACAGGGGAGGGTAGAGGTGTGACGACAGGGAATAGAGAAGCTGGAATCGGCACCAAGGAGGGAGGTGGGGGCTGGGAGAGGGTGAAGGGTACCAGCATCACGAAGGACTGACTCGGTGGCTCCACTGTCAAGGACAAAGTCCAGCGTGGTGGAAGGGGGAGGATGTGGGGGAGGAGGTGGGACGGAGTACTGAATCAAATTCTCATTAATAGCAGCCGAATACATAGAAGGGGCAAGGAGCCTGAATAACCATGCCAACAAAACCAGAGGAGGGGAAAGGAGTGACACTGCCGATGGCTGAGGGCGCAGGAGACGCGCCCGAGAGGTGAGCTGCGGAAGCGGCGGTGCTTGCAGTCCTAGCGGAGTAGGGCTGCTGGGGAGGAGCCATAGGAGGAGGTGCAAGGGGGAGCTGCGATTGGAGGTCAAGCTGCTGCTGGAGCTGCTGGAGCTGCTGGAGCTGTTGGTGCAGCTGGGAGAAGAGGTGCTGCTGCCCCTGCTGCTGCAACTGCTGGAACTGCTGCTGCTGCTGCTGAAACTGCTGCTGGGGTTGAAACTGCTACGACAGGATCTTCTGCGGAGGCTGCTGCTGCTGCTGTTGCTGAGAGACGGCCTGGTGGGCCTAGGGGGAGAAGCCGGGCTGGTAGAGAGAGGAGGTACGAACCTCTTGAGGAGTGGGGCGAGGAGAGAGGGAGGACCAGTGGGGGGGGGGGGGGCGGTGTTGCCGCGAGCAAACCACTCATCACTGAGCACCTTGAAGCAAGTATCAATGGCATGAGTGCTCTGGCCGCAAAGCTTACCCCGCGTGGGGCCATAGCGAGGGAGATACTGACAAGGAGGAAAGGCGGCTGCTGCACCACGTCCTGCGCCACTGCCACCAGGACCCGCACCGCCACCACGACCAGTGCCACGCCCACCCCCACGCCCTTCCCTGTTGTTGCGCTGCTGAGCAACCACGGCAGTGGAGGAGGAATGGCGCAAGAAGTCGGCCTCAGTGGTGATGATCCACTTGGCAACCTCAGCCGGGGTGATGTGCTTGTCGATCAGCTGCATGTAGGGGATCTTGTGGGTGTCGAAGGCAGGATTCAAGCCTTCAAGGAGGTGGCAGCAGAGCACTGGGTCCGGGTACAGCACGCCAAGAGCCGCCAGGCGCTGAGCGAGGTCGAGGACGCGACGCGTGAAGGCAGCTGCGCCGGTGGTAGAGTCCATGGTGAGGCTCTGGAACTCCTTGATGAGGGAGTAGAGGGTGGCGACGTCCTGCCGATCATAGAGATCGGTGAGGAGCCGCCAGAGGTGGGAGGAGGAGGTGGGAGCAAGCTCCCGCTTGAGGGTGGGAGGAATGGTGGCAAGGAGGATGGTGAGAGCGCGCCGGTCAGCGACACGCCAGGCGGCGAGGTCGGTGATGTATGCGTGCTCGCGATTGGCGTACTCCGCGAGCGCCGCCTGGTATGTGTTGTAGGCGGCAGCGGCGGCGTCATGCTTGGCACGGGAAGCCTCGTAGAGAAGCTGCTGGCGAACGTGATCGGTGAGGCCAACACGGTAGGTGCGGATGGCGGTCTCGGAGCTCTGAGGGTCGTTGACGTCAGGGGCGAAGGTTGGAGGATCACCGGGGCTGACGGGAGCATCGCCAGGAGGAGGTGCAAGGCCCGCGGGAGCATCCGGCTGGGCAGGCTGAAGACCGTGCTCCTCGAGGTGGACAACGGCTTTCAGGTTGTAGCCGTTGACCGTCACCGAGGAGAGAAGCACCGTGACTGTTTGGGCATAGGAATGCCAATTGGAATCGACGACGGACAGCCGCACGCGACGGCGGAATCGGTGACAAACAGCCGCACGCGACGGCGGCGGAATCGGGGACGGACAGCCGCACGCGATGGCAGCGAAATCAGTGACGGACAGTTGCACGCGACAGCGGAATCGGCAGCGGCTGCGGCGGCGAGCACGTTCGTGATGGGCGGATTCGTCGGCGGGTACGCTCGGGTGCTGCGACAAACAGGCGCGTGGTGGGAGAGCGCGACGAATGGGTGCGCGCTGTGGCCGAGGGCGCACGACGGGAGGAAGCGGCAACGAACAGCGAGAAGAGGAAAAGGGCGTCGATAGACGCGAGGGGAGGTGCGCGAGAAAAGGGAGGGTGGGCGCGATAGGAGGCGCGTGACGAGAGGGAGAGCGTGCGCGATGCGAGAGCGCGACGGGAGAGGGCGCACAGACGGCACGCAAAGTAGCCTAAGAAAGGGCTAGGCTTCGATGACGAGGAGGGACAGCATAGGGCCGTGCTAGTTAGGATCGACTATAGGTGGCCAGAGCCATTGTAGCTCTGATTACCATGAAGGAACTAGCTTTGAGGAGGAAAGATTGAATTAGACTAGAGAGCCAATAGGCTCTATTGAACAAACAAGGCGTAAGGAAAAGATGGGAGAGAAGGTCTCCCATTAGCCATAATGTGGACCAATGGGAGAGGTAGCTTGGAGGACAAGCAACCACAAAGTGTGGTGCTCTCCGATTGGCCACAATGTGGACCAATGGGAGAGGTTGCTTGGAAGGTAAGCAACCACAAAGTGTGGTGCTTGGTGATTGGTTCGGTCTTAGGACCAAGGACCAATCTTGACCAACCCAAATCTGGGGTTGGTCAACCCAACCAACAAACCCCCAATAAATATAATGACTACATCTCCTAATCTAGGCATGCATGTTGTACAGAGATATATTTCACAACATGCCACCCCTCTGCCTGCCAGCCCTCTGCCTGCCAGCCCTCTGCCTCCCAGCCCTCTACCTCCCAGCCCTCTGCCTCCCAGCCCTCTGCCTGCCAGCCCTCTGACTGTCAGCCCTCTGCCTCCCAGCCCTCTGCCTGCCAACCCTCTGCCTGCCAGCCCTCTGCCTCCCAGCCCTCTGAATGCCAGCCCTCTGCCTCCCAGCCCACTGACTGCCAGCCCTCAGCATCCCAACCCTCTGCCTCCCAGCCCTCTGCCTACAGCCCTCTGCCGCCCAGCCCTCTCCCTCCCATCCCTCTAACTGCCAGCCCTCTGCCTCCCAACCAGGGTGCAAAAAAACGGCATCCGTATTAAACGGTCCGTTTTAAACGGTCGTTTTTTACGGTGATTTTTGGTTAAAAACGACGTTCTTTTGTTAGACTTTTTTTTTTTCCCCAATAAAAAGCACGCGTAAACTGGTGGCCTGATTGCTAAGGTCGCCTGCATCATTCTACGAGATAATTAAGGTCTTTGAAGCAGGTATGTGATGTCCATGCCCCTAGTCTGTCGCCTTCTAGGCCTCGTTCTGCTCCTACTCCACCATCCCCCCCGTCCTCCTCCTCCTAAGCGTCATCCCCCTAGTCCTCCCCCCCCCTAGTCCTCCCCCCCCAGTCCTACCCCCCCTAGTCCTTCCCCCCCATGTCCTCCCCCGTCCATATGTCGTCCTCGTCCTACTCCCCCTCTCCTCCTCCGTGTCCTCCTGCTGCTCAGCCTCATCCTCCTAGTCCCTCTCTGCCTAGACCTCATCCGCCTAGCCCTGCTCCTCCTCATCCTCCTCCTCCCCCTGCTCCTCCTCCTCCTCCCCACTCTCGCCGTCACTGCATTCCCATGGGGATCCCCCCTTGGCCCTCTTGACAGGCTCGTCGCTGCTATCGCTATCGCCCTCTGCAACCTCCTCCTCCTCCTCCTCCTCCTCCTCTTCCTCCTCCTCGACCACGTTCTCCTTCCGCTTTCGGGAAGCGTTGCCCTTCTTTGGCCTCTTCTTACCTCGGGCCTTGGTGCCACTCTTCTTCTTCCCCCCAATGTTCCCGAACGTGTCCCAATCGACGGTACACGCCTCCCCGCCCTCTTCCCCTTCGGGGTCCTCAGCCTCGGGTTCATCAGCAGGTGGCGGGGGGATGGTGGCGCCCTCCTTCAGGCTGCCGTCGCTCAGGTTGGAATACAGCTTCGCGCGCGCCGCCACTTTCTGGTCGAACGCCGCTCTCGCCCGCCGGCTGAATGCGACGAAGGTGACGTCAGTCATCGTCGTCGCGCTCAGCCGGTTCCGGTCGCGGCGCTGGACGCGGGCCAAGGCAGACCAGTAGCGTTCGACCTCGGATGAGGTCACTGACTGTGATAGAATCATCACAGCCAGCTCCTGCAGGGCCGCCACCTCTCCTCCGTACATCCACCACCATTCTGCATCCGTCAGCCGCCCGCTTTCCACGAGGGCTGCCGCTGCCCATCGGGCTTCCATGGATCCGAGGCGTCCCTCGCCCTTGTGGAAAGTAGCGAGCTGGGCGGTGATCATACATTGCCGCTGCAAGTCGCCCCCCCTTGCTCGGATCACCTCGTCCGCTCCGTTTCTGATCTCCGCGTCCGCCCGCACCTCACCCACGTACTGGTTCCGCGGGCTGATGAGCCACCCGAAAGCTTGCAGTGGGTTGTGGAGCTGCCCGTCCCAGCGCTTGGCGATCACCTTTTTTCCCGTTTGCCAAGAAGGCGGACTTGTCCTTCGCCGCAAGCAAAGGGGTTCGGCAGACGAAAAATGTGGCTGCCGCCTCTGCCGCCTCGATCGTTTTGACGGTGGCCTCTAACATGAGGCCATATATGCGGCCCATAACGAGCGACCACTTGTCGACAGTTCTGAGGACCGTGTAAATGGGATTCATGAGACGGAGCACCACGCCAACGCCCTCCCAGAATGAGTCCGCCAAGAGGAGGTCGCGGACGGCCGTTCCTTCCTCAGTCCGCGCCAGCGGCACCTCCTCCCACTGCTCGCTAATGACCATTTCCCCCCGCTGCCTCTTAACCTCGAGGAACCGTCCGATCATCAACACCTGAGTCCCAAATCGAGTAGAGCCGGGGCAGACGAGCTCCAACTGGCTGAAGACCTCACAGAACAGCGTGACGGCGGATGCGCTCTTCTTCACCATCGTCACAACCCGATGCACCTGGGTTAGGACCCGCCTCACAACCCCGATCGCCCCAAGGTTCTCCAGCGTAAGGTCAAGGACGTGAGCCACGCAGTTTGTGAAGAAGACCTGCGGAAAGCCGTTCTTCAAAATGCTGGCCGCCCGCTTGTTGTTAGAAGCGTTGTCCATGCATACTTCGATGACAAGGCGGTCGCCCACGTTGCAGATATTGCGCCGAATCAGCTCAGCGAGGTACGGTCCGGTCTTCTTTGCAGTCTTAGAGTCCACAATTTCAACGACAACAGGAGCAGTGTCGTTCTGGGCAATGACACACACCATGCCACTGCTTTTGAGACATGACCAGCAATCGACGCTTAGCGTGCAGCCGGTGGTGCGCCACGTGTCCTTCAAAGGTTGTAGGAGCGTCTCACATTCCGTCTTCAGTTTGCCGAGCAAGGGGCCAGACACCTTGTACGCAGATGGCAGTGTGTAGGGTTTCCCGAAGCTGACCGCCACGTTGACGAAGTCTTGAACTGCCTTCGACTGGGATGTTCGAAACGCCCAGTCATACTCTGCTACGGCCGTCGCCCACAGATAGTCGAGACGGTTACGGCCCGCGACGTCCGTCATTTCGCGGATATCGCGCTGCCGCGTGCGCCCCCTTTGCTGCTGCACCTCCACCGTCGACGTCGAATCACGAAGAGAGAGCTCGGCGGTGGAGGAGCGTCCCTCTCCGCCAGACGCGCGCAGTTGTTTCGCATACTCCGACTGACATGGTGCTACGTTCTTCAGCTTGTTGCTAGGAGTGCCGTAGATGTGATGGCCTATCCTAGTAGCATTAGGAGTGACGGATGCATCGCAGTGAATACACACGCAGATCCTGACACTGCCGCTGGGGTCCATCTCTTTCTTGACGTGCTCCCAGATCCCGGACGTCTGTCTAGGCATAACCAACCGCGGACTGCTGAACGCGAGAGGAGCTGCAGGAACTAGTGGGTGTAAGTACCGAGTTGAGGAGGTTGAGTAGTAATGCCTACTGCCGTGGAGCTGCTCGATGTTTGTACCTGAGCTTTGAGAGGGATCACATCCCTTTTCCTTGAGAGAGATGGACCCCGATATGATGTGATTGGTTGCGAAATCGCAAATCCCGAATCGCATGGTATTAAAAGTTCGTCCGACCGCGCGATGCTTGGATCAGAGGGGCTGAATGGCGCGAAAATGGGCTAACGAAAATTGCGACACAGACAAGCGATCAGTTCTGAGCTGCAGAAATTTCGGATGCATGCGCTTCGAGAATTTGTCAGCTCGCGGCTCGGCTAAAATTTGAGCGATCGCACGACTGACAAATGTTGAACACGGATACGCGTTATTAGCTAGGCCAATAACGATGTACACCGTATTATACGGTGGTACGAAAAAAACGGTCGTATAAAACGGCCGTTTTTTTTCACCAAACGAAAAATGCAACTTTTGACCGTTTTAATCGTATTATACGACCGTTTTATACGATCTCGTTATAAACGGCCAAAAAGGGTAAAAAACGCCGTTTTTTTGCACCTTGCTCCCAACCCTCTGCCTGCCAGCCCTCTGCCTCCCAGCGCTCTGCCTGCCAGACCTCTGCCTGACAGCCCTCTGCCTGCCAGCCCTCTGCCTCCCAGCCCTCTGCCTGCAAGCCCTCTGCCTCCCAGCCCTCTGCCTCCCAGCCATCTGCCTCCCAGCCCTCTGCCTGCCAACCCTGTGCCTGCCAGCCCTGTGCGTGCCAGCCCTCTGCCTCCCTGCCCTCTGCCTCCCAGCCCTCTGCCTGCCAGCCCTCAGCCTGCCAGCCCACTGCCTCCCAGCCCTCTGCCTCCCAGCCCTCCGCCTGCCAGCCATCTGCCTGCCAGCACTCTGCCTGCCAGCCCTCTGACTGCCAGCCCTCTGCCTCCCAGCCCTCTGCCTGCCAGCCCTCTGCCTGCCAGCCCTCTGCCTGCCAGCCCTCTGCCTCCCAGCCCTCTGCCTACCAGCCCTCTGCCTCCCAGCCCTCTGCCTGCCAGCCCTCTGCCTCCCAGCCCTCTGCCTGCCAGCCCTCTGCCTCCCAGCCCTCTACCTCCCAGCCCTCTGCCTCCCAGTCTTCTGCCTCCCAGCCCTCTGCCTCCCAACCCTCTGCCTCCCAGCCCTCCGCCTCCCAGCCCCCTGCCGCCCAGCTCTCTCCCTCCCAGCCCTCTTCCTCCCAGCCCTCTGCCTGACAGCCCTCTGCCTGACAACCCTCTGCCTGCCAGCGCTCTGCCTGCCAGCCGTCTGCATGCCAGCCCTCTGCCTCCCAGCCCTCTGCCTGCCAGCCCTCTGCCTCTCAGCCCTCTGCCTCCCAGCCCTCTGCCTCCCAGCCCTCTGCCTCCCAGCCCACTGCCTCCCAGCCCTCTGCCTGCCAGCCATCAGCCTTCCAGCCCTCTGCCTCCCAGCCCTCTGCCTGCCAGCCCTCTGCCTCGCAGCCCTCTTACTCCCAGCCCTCTTTCTCCCAGCCCTCTGCCTTCCAACCCTATGCATCCCAGCCCCCTGCCTCCCAGCCCTCTGCCTCCCAGCCATCTGCCTCCAAGCCCTCTGCCGCCCAGCCCTCTTCCTCCCAGACCTCTGCCTCCCAGCCCTCTGCCTCCCAGCCCTCTGCCTGACAGCCCTCTGCCTGCCAGCGCTCTACCTCCCAGCCCTCTGCCTGCCATCCCTCTGACTGCCAGCCTTCTGCCTGCCAGCACTCTGCCTGCCAGCCCTCTGCCTTCCAGCCCTCTGCCACCCAGCCCTCTGACTGCCAGCCCTCTGCCTCCCAGCCCTCTGCCTGCCAGCCCTCTGCCTGCCAGCCCTCTGCCTGCCATCCCTCTGCCTCCCAGCCCTCTGCCTCCCAGCGCTCTGCCTCCCAGTCTTCTGCCTCCCAGCCCTCTGCCTCCCAACCCTCTGCCTCCCAGCCCTCCGCCTCCCAGCCCCCTGCCGCCTAGCTCTCTCCCTCCCAGCCCTCTTCCTCCCAGCCCTCTGCCTGACAGCCCTCTGCCTGACAACCCTCTTCCTGCCAGCGCTCTGCCTGCCAGCCCTCTGCCTGCCAGCGCTCTGCCTGCCAGCCCTCTGCCTCCCAGCCCTCTGCCTCCCAGCCCTCTGCCTCCCAGCCCTCTGCCTCCCAGCCCACTGCCTCCCAGCCCTCTGCCTCCCAGCCCTCTGCCTGCCAGCCCTCTGCCTGCCAGCGCTCTGCATGCCAGTCCTCTGCCTGCCAGCGCTCTGCCTGCCAGCCCTCTGCCTGCCAGCCCTCTGCCTGCCAGCCCTCTGCCTCCCAGCCCTCTGCCTCCCAGCCCTCTGCCTCCCAGCCCTCTGCCTCCCAGCCCTCTGCCTCCCAGCCCTCTTCCTCCCAGCCCTCTGCCTGCCAGCCCTCTGCCTGCCAGCCCACTGCCTGCCAGCCCTCTGCCTGCCAGCCCTCTGCCTCCCAGCCCTCTGCCTGCGAACCCTCTGCCTCCCAGCCCTCTCCCTGCCAGCCCTCTGCCTGCCAGCCCTCTGCCTCCCAGCCCTCTGCCTGCCAGCCCTCTGCCTCCAAGCCCTCTGCCTGCCAGCCCCCTGCCTGCCAGCCCTCTGCCTGCCAGCGCTCTGCCTCCCAGCCCTCTGCCTCCCAGCCCTCTGATTGTCAGCCTTCTGCCTCCCAGCCCTCTGCCTCCCAGCCCTCTGCCTGCCAGCCCTCTGCGTGCCAGCCCTCTGCGTGCCAGCCCTCTGCCTCAAGAACTCTGCCTCCCAGCCCTCTGCCTCCCAGCCCTCTGCCTCTCAGCCCTCTGACTGTCAGACCTCTGCCTCCCAGCCCTCTGCCTTACAGCCTTCTACCTCCCAGCCCTCTGCCTGCCAGCCCTCTGCGTGCCAGCCCTCTGCCTGCCGGCCCTCTGCGTGCCAGCCCTCTGCCTCCCAGCCCTCTGCCTGCGAACCCTCTGCCTCCCAGCCCTCTTCCTGCCAGCCCTCTGCTTGCCAACCCTCTGCCTGCCAGCCCTCTGCCTGCCAGCCCTCAGCCTGCTAGCCCTCTGCCTCCCAGCCCTCTGACTGCCAGCCCTCTGCCTCCCAGCCCTCTGCCTGCCAGCCCTCAGCCTGAAGGAATTAGCTTGGAAGAGAAAAGATTGAATTGAGTAGGGAGCCAAGAGGCTCTTTTGTACAAAACAAGGAGCAAGAAAGAGTTGGAAGGGAAGCTCTCCTATTGGCCATAAAGTGGACCAATGGGAGAGGTTGCTTGTAGGGCAAGCAACCACAAAGTGTGGTGCTCTCCGATTGGCCACAATGTGGACCAATGAGAGAGATTGCTTGGAAGGCAAGCAACCACAAATTGTGGTGCTTGGTGATTGGTTGGTTCCTAGGACCAAGGACCATTTGGTTGGAATAGTGCCAACCAAATGTCTAGGACCAAATCCAATCTTGACCAACCCAAATGTGGGGTTGGTCAACCCAACCAACAACCCCCAATAATTAGAATGACTACACCTCCTAATCTAGGCATGCATGTTGTATAGATATATATTTTACAACACAACCCCCCAACATGCATAAGACTAGAGGGCTTGAATCAGGAGGCGGACGAGGGAACGGGGGGAGCGAGTCCAAGAAGGCGAAGGAGGGACGAGTGGGCGGCGTGGGGGAGGGCTTTGGTGAAGATGTCAGCAAGATTGGCAGCAGAGTCAATCTTGCCCAGCCGGAGGTGGCCACCTTGCACAAGCTCACGAATGAAGTAGTGGCGAAGCTCAATGTGCTTGGAGCGCCCGTGGAACACGGCATCCTTCGTGAGGTGGATGGTGCTGGCGTTGTCGCACCAGATGGTGGGACAGCGCTGAGGGGCACCAAGCTCCTCAAGAAGGTAGGAGAGCCAGCGGGCCTCCTGCGCAGCCATGGTAGCGGCATACAGCTCTGCTTCGCAGGAGGAGAGGGCAATGGAGGAGGAGCGGGTGGAGCGCCAGCTGATGAGGCCACTGCCAAGAGAGAAGCCATAGCCCTGAGAGGAGCGGCGGTCAGGCCTAGAGTCAGCCCAGGAGGAATCAGAGTAGCGAGTAAGGAGGGGAGGGGAGGGGCCGCCAAGGGTAAGGACGTAGTCGTTGGTCCCCCGAAGGTAGCGGAGGACACGCTTGGCCGCTTGCCAGTGGGCGGCATCATGCTTGCCGGTACCAACGAAGCGGGCCAAAACGCTGATGGGGTATGCCAGGTCAGGGCGGGTGGAGACCATGGCATACATGAGAGAGCCGATGAGCTCAGCGTAGGGGTGGGAGGAGGAGGAGGGGGAGGTGAGGGGAGTGAGGTGGTGCCCAACAGGAAGAGGGGTGACCTGAGGGGTGCCTCGAGCCATGTCGAACCGCTCCAAGACCTGCTGCAGGTAGTGGCCTTGGGAGAGGGAGATGGTGCGAGCAGCACGGTCGCGGGTAATCTCCATGCCGAGATAGTGCTGCAGCTCCCCTAGATCCTTACACTTGAGCCGGCTGCCAAGCTCACGCTTGACGCGCTCGAGCTCGGCGGAGTCGGCAGTGATGAGGATCATATCGTCGACATAGACGAGGATGTAGAAGGGGGAGGGGGAGGTGCGGAGGAAGAGGCTGGGGTCGGCACGGGAGGTGCTGAAGCCAAGCTCGGCGAGGGTGGCAGCAAGCTTGGCATGCCACTCCCTTGGTGCCTGCTTGAGCCCATAGACCGGCCGACGCAGCTGCCAGACAGAGTCGGACGGAAAGGGGAGATGGAAGCCGGCAGGACGCTCCATGTAAATGAGCTCGCGCAAGACCCCTTGGAGGAATGCGTTGGAGACATCCATGGAGTGAATCTCCATGTTGAGGCGAGCGGCGAGGTCGAGGACTGCGCGAATGGTAGCGGGCTTGGCGGTGGGAGAGAAGGTGTCGAAGAAGTCGACAGCGTAGCGCTGGGTGAAGCCCTTGGCGACGTAGCGGGCCTTGTAGACTGGCGGCTTGCCAGGAAGCTGCTTCACCCGAAACACCCACTTCCCTTTGACCACGTTCGTGGTAGAGGGAGGGCGTGGCACATCCACAAAGGAGGAGTTGGCAATAAACGCCTCCAACTCCTTGAGGATGGCCGCGAGCCAGAGGTGAGCGTCAGGGCACGCCATGGCCTCCTCGTACGTAGCGGGGACGAAGATGGTGGAGGCGGAGGAGAAGGCGAAGACTGGTGTGCCGCTGAGGTCAGGGGAGATGGGTAGGAGGGCTGGATGATGCAGGTGGAGGTTGAGGATCTCCTCATGGGAGTCCTCGAGGAGGGAGGAGTGGAAAATGAATGGGAGGACTGCAGCTGCTGATGCTGCCGCTGCTGCTGCTGCTGCTGCTGAGGATGCATCTGCTGCTGCTGCTGCTGAGGCGGCTGCTACTGCTGCATCTGCTGCCGCCACTGCTGCTGCTGCGGGTGAAGGCGAGGAAGGAGCGACGGCTGCTGCTGCTGGTGCTGCTGCGGTGGGTGGAACTGCTGCTGCAGCTGTTGCTGCTGCTGGTGGGGCTGCTGTACTGGAGCTCGACGGCAGGGTTGGGCTAGTGTTTTGTTGTAAGACTGTCTGAAAAAGGAGGTCCATGAGAGGGGAGAGAGGAGGCAAGGGAGAGGAAGAGAGGATAACAGGAGGCGGGGCACCTAGGACTGCGTCACGCGACCTGGTGTGGGGATACCGGGTAAGGATGGAGCGGGTGGGACGCAAGGGGGGAGGGGGACGTGGGGGGGAGGGGGGAGGATGGGAGGGAGCGGAGGGGGAGGAGTGGGACGGGGAGGCGGGGGGAAAAAAAGGGTCAGGGTCAAATATGTCACCAGAGGAGGGGGGAGCACTAGGGACCGAGGCGGCGGGGAATGGAGGAGGTGGAGCGGGAGGGAGGATGGGAGGGGGAGGGAGAAGAGGGGGTGGGATAGTGTCGGACCAGTTGAGGGGCCTGGGAGCAGGGGCGAGAGGGTCAGTTGGGGGAGGAGTGGAATAGTAGGGTGTGGACTCATCAAAGACTACATCCCGACTGCGGAGGAAACGACCTGAGGGGGGGTGAAGGAAGAGGTAGTCCGGGGAGGAGGGATTATGACCAAGGAAGATGCAGGGGAGAGTACGGGAGGCGAGCTTTCCCATGGTGCGGGGGCGGTCCGCAGGGTGAATGAGGACATACGCCCTGGAGCCCCACACACGGAGGGAGGAGACGTCAGGCTTGGCCGACGTCCAGAGCTCGGTGGGAGTGGTGGAGGGAAGGATAGGGTGGGGGTACAGGTTAGTAAGGAGGGTGGCGTGAAGGAGGGCATAGCCCCACAGAGAAGGGGGGCAAGAGGCATGGACGAGGAGGCACCGAGCAATCTTGGTGATCTCCCGAACACGGCTCTCGGCCACACCATTCTGCTGGGGGGAGTGGGGGAGGGTGTGAGTCTGGCGAATGCCATGAAGCTCACAGTAGGAGGCTACCTGACGATTAAGGAATTCACCACCGCCATCAGAGTGAAGGCGGCGCACAGGGCGGCCAAAGTGGGTGCTCGCCTGCTTGAGCCAGGCGATGATCGCAGCCAAAGCATCACCCTTCGAGCGAAGAAGGGAGACGGACGAATATCGGCTGTGATCATCGACTAGAACAAGCATGTAGCGATGGCCCTGGCGGGAAGGGGAGGGGTTGGGGCCCCAGAGGTCCATGTGAACAAGATCAAGCGGCTGAGCAGCAGCGGAGGGGGAACTCCGATGCGGCAGCTGCTTGAGCTTGCTCTGGACACAGACGGAGCAGGGTGGGGCAAGGGAGGGAGGGAGGGGAGGGAGGGTGAGGGGAAGACCTCGAAGGAGACCTGAGGAGACGGTCGAGCGGAGGGTGGCAAAGTTGGGGTGACCAAGCCTGTGGTGGAGGAGGACGGTGGGATGGGAGAGGGATCGACAGGAGCAGGTTGGGTCAGGGGGGAGGGGGGGAATGGTTGGGTTAGAAGGAGGGAGAGGAGGGGGAGGGATGTGAGGTGGGGGGAGGGAGCGGGAGACTGCCTGGGCAGAGGGAAGACGAGGAAATCGAAGGGTATATAGGCGGGAGAGAGGACAAAAGGGAATACGGGAGAGGAGGCGACCTGTGGGATGGTATAGGAGGTAGTGATTAGCGCGACCTGGGAAGACGGTGGTGATACCGGCCTGCTGCAGGGATCGCTGGGAGAGGAGGTTAGTACGGAGGGAGGGGATGTGTAAACCAGTGACGGTACCTGAGGGGAAGAGGGGACAGGGGAGGGTAGAGGTGTGGCGACAGGGAATAGAGAAGCTGGAATCGGCACCAAGGAGGGAGGTGGGGGCTGGGAGAGGGTGAAGGGTACCAGCATCACGAAGGACGGACTCAGTGGCTCCACTGTCAAGGACAAAGTCCAGCGTGGTGGAGGGGGGAGGATGTGGGGGAGGAGGTGGGACGGAGTACTGAATCACATTCTCATTAATAGCAGCCGAATACATAGAAGGGGCGGGGGTTCCAGCCTGGCTAACCATGCCAACAAAACCAGAGGAGGGGAAAGGAGTCACACTGCCTGTGGCTGAGGGCGCGGGAGACGCGCCCGAGAGGTGAGCTGCGGAAGCGGCGGTGCCGGCGGTCCAAGCGGGGTAGGGCTGCTGGGGGGGAGCCATAGGAGGAGGTGCAAGGGGGAGCTGTGACTGGAGGTCAAGCTGCTGCTGGAGCTGCTGGAGCTGCTGCTGCAACTGGGAGAAGAGGTGCTGCTGCCCCTGCTGCTGCTGCTGCTGGAACTGCTGCTGCTGCTGCTGAAACGGCTGCGGCAGGATCTGCTGCGGAGTCTGCTGCTGCTGCTGATGCTGAGAGACGGCCTGGTGGGCCAAGGGGGAGGAGACGGGCTGAAAAAGAGGGGAGGTACGAACTTCCTGAGGAGTGGGGCGAGGAGAGAGGGAGGACCAGCGGGGGGGGGTGCCGGTGTTGCCGCGGGCAAACCACTCATCACTGAGCGCTTTGAAGCAAGAATCAGTGGCATGAGTGGTCTGGCCGCAGCGCTGACCCCGCGTCGGGCCATAGCGAGGGAGATACTGGCAAGGAGGAAAGGCGGCTGCTGCACCACGTCCTGCGCCATTGCTACCACGACCCGCGCCACCACCACGACCAGCGCCACGCCCACCCCCACGCCCTCCCCTGGTGTTGCGCTGCTGAGCAACAGCGGCAATGGAGGAGGAATGGCGCAAGAGGTCGGCCTCAGTTGTGATAATCCACTGGGCGACTTCAGCCGGGGTGATGCGCTTGTCGATCAGCTGCATGTAGGCGATCTTATGGGTGTCGAAGGCAGGAGTCAAGCCTTCAAGGAGGTGGCAGCAGAGCACTGGGTCCGGGTACGGCACGCCAAGAGCCGCCAAGCGCCGAGCGAGGTCGAGGACGCGACGCGTGAAGGCAGCTGCGCCGGTGGTAGAGTCCATGGTGAGGCTCTGGAACTCCTTGATGAGGGAGTAGAGGGTGGCGACGTCCTGCCGATCATAGAGATCAGTGAGGAGCCGCCAGAGGTGAGAGGAGGAGGTGGGAGCAAGCTCGCGCTTGAGGGTGGGAGGAATGGTGGCGAGGAGGATGGTGAGCGCGCGCCGGTCAGCGACACGCCAGGCAGCGAGGTCGGTGATGTATGCGCGCTCGCGCCTGATGTACTCCGCGAGCGCCGCCTGATACGTGTTGTAGGCGGCAGTGGCGGCGTCATGCTCGGCGCGGGAAGCCTCGAAGAGCAGCTGCTGGCGGACGTGGTCGGTGAGGCCGGCACGGTAGGTGCGGATGGCGGTCTCGGAGCTCTGAGGGTCGTTGACGTCAGGGGCGAAGGTTGGAGGATCGCCGGGGCTGACGGGAGCATCGCCAGGAGGAGGAGGTGCAGGGCCCGCGGGAGCATCCGGCTGGGCAGGCTGAAGACCGCGGTTCTCGAGATGGACAACGGCTTTCAGGTTGTAGCCGTTGACCGTCACTGAGGAGAGAAGCACCGTGACGGTTTGGGCATAGGAATGCCAATTGACCGCGGTGTTGTCGGGAAGCAGCTCAAGAGCGTCGACGGAGGTAAGGTCCACCGAGGAATCGGACGCCATTGAGGAGGAGGGGAAGGAGGGGGGGGGAGGAGGAAAAGGAAAGGAGGAGGAAAAGGAAAGGAGGAGGAGAAGGGGGGAGGGAGGAGAAGGATAGGTGCGCGGAGCGCAGCTCTTAAGTCGCCGAAGGCTGCGCGACGCGCTCCAAGGAAGATGCGGCGGCCGGCTGCACGCCAAAATGGCGCGACGAACGGGTGCACGCGACGGCAGAATCGACGACGGGCGGGCGCACGCGGCGGAGAAATCGACCAACGGCCGTGCGCGCGCGGCGACCGAAAGGCGACGGGCGCGGTGGGAGAATTTGTCGACGGGCGTGCGCGGGAGCCGTGATGGTCAGGCGCGCGGAGAGCGCGACGGACGGGTGCGCGCAAACGCGGAAGGCGCGCGACGGGAGGGCGCGACGGGAGGGTGCGACGACGGGCCGCGCGACGGAGGAGCGCACCAACGGGCGCAGTAGAAGGATGCGACGGCTAGAAGCGCGTCGTCAAGCGCGACGGGAGGCGCACGACGGAAGGGAGAGCGGGCGCGGCAAAAAGGCGCGGGACAGGAGGAAGAGCGGGCGCGATGGAATAGCGCGGCGGGAGAGGGCGCACGGGGGGCGCGGGAAGGAGCCTTAAGGAAGGGCTAGGCTTCGAAGACGAGGAGGGACGGCATACGGCCGTGCTAGTTAGGATCGACTAGAGGTGGCGTGAGCCATTGTAGCTCTGAATACCATGAAGGAATTAGCTTGGAAGAGAAAAGATTGAATTGAGTAGGGAGCCAAGAGGCTCTTTTGTACAAAACAAGGAGCAAGAAAGAGTTGGAAGGGATGCTCTCCTATTGGCCATAAAGTGGACCAATGGGAGAGGTTGCTTGTAGGGCAAGCAACCACAAAGTGTGGTGCTCTCCGATTGGCCACAATGTGGACCAATGAGAGAGATTGCTTGGAAGGCAAGCAACCACAAAGTGTGGTGCTTGGTGATTGGTTGGTTCCTAGGACCAAGGACCATTTGGTTGGAATAGTGCCAACCAAATGTCTAGGACCAAATCCAATCTTGACCAACCCAAATGTGGGGTTGGTCAACCCAACCAACAACCCCCAATAATTAGAATGACTACACCTCCTAATCTAGGCATGCATGTTGTATAGATATATATTTTACAACACAGCCTGCAAGACCTCTGCCTCCCAGCCCTCTGACTGCCAGCCCTCTGCCTCCCAGCCCTCTGCCTGCCAGCCCTCTGCCTGCCAGCCCTCTGCCTGCCAGCCCTCTGCCTGCCAGCCCTCTGCCTGCCAGCCCTCTGCCTCCCAGCCCTCTGCCTGCCAGCCCTCTGCCTGCCAGCCCTCTGCCTGCCAGCCCTCTGCCTCCCAGCCCTCTACCTCCCAGCCCTCTGCCTCCCAGTCTTCTGCCTCCCAGCCCTCTGCCTCCCAACCCTCTGCCTCCCAGCCCTCCGCCTCCCAGCCCCCTGCCGCCCAGCTCTCTCCCTCCCAGCCCTCTTCCTCCCAGCCCTCTGCCTGACAGCCCTCTGCCTGACAACCCTCTGCCTGCCAGCGCTCTGCCTGCCAGCCGTCTGCCTGCCAGCCCTCTGCCTCCCAGCCCTCTGCCTGCCAGCCCTCTGCCTCTCAGCCCTCTGCCTCCCAGCCCTCTGCCTCCCAGCCCTCTGCCTCCCAGCCCACTGCCTCCCAGCCCTCTGCCTGCCAGCCATCAGCCTTCCAGCCCTCTGCCTCCCAGCCCTCTGCCTTCCAACCCTATGCATCCCAGCCCCCTGCCTCCCAGCCCTCTGCCTCCCAGCCATCTGCCTCCCAGCCCTCTGCCACCCAGCCCTCTTCCTCCCAGACCTCTGCCTCCCAGCCCTCTGCCTCCCAGCCCTCTGCCTTACAGCCCTCTGCCTGCCAGCGCTCTACCTCCCAGCCCTCTGCCTGCCATCCCTCTGACTGCCAGCCTTCTGCCTGCCAGCACTCTGCCTGCCAGCCCTCTGGCTGCCAGCCCTCTGCCACCCAGCCCTCTGACTGCCAGCCCTCTGCCTCCCAGCCCTCTGCCTGCCAGCCCTCTGCCTGCCAGCCCTCTGCCTGCCAGCCCTCTGCCTCCCAGCCCTCTACCTCCCAGCCCTCTGCCTCCCAGTCTTCTGCCTCCCAGCCCTCTGCCTCCCAACCCTCTGCCTCCCAGCCCTCCGCCTCCCAGCCCCCTGCCGCCTAGCTCTCTCCCTCCCAGCCCTCTTCCTCCCAGCCCTCTGCCTGACAGCCCTCTGCCTGACAACCCTCTGCCTGCCAGCGCTCTGCCTGCCAGCCCTCTGCCTGCCAGCGCTCTGCCTGCCAGCCCTCTGCCTGCCAGCCCTCTGCCTCCCAGCCCTCTGCCTCCCAGCCCTCTGCCTCCCAGCCCTCTGCCTCCCAGCCCTCTGCCTCCCAGCCCTCTGCCTCCCAGCCCTCTTCCTCCCAGCCCTCTGCCTGCCAGCCCTCTGCCTGCCAGCCCTCTGCCTGCCAGCCCTCTGCCTGCCAGCCCTCTGCCTCCCAGCCCTCTGCCTGCGAACCCTCTGCCTCCCAGCCCTCTCCCTGCCAGCCCTCTGCCTGCCAGCCCTCTGCCTCCCAGCCCTCTGCCTGCCAGCCCTCTGTCTCCCAGCCCTCTGGCTGCCAGCCCTCTGCCTGCCAGCGCTCTGCCTCCCAGCCCTCTGCCTCCCAGCCCTCTGATTGTCAGCCTTCTGCCTCCCAGCCCTCTGCCTCCCAGCCCTCTGCCTGCCAGCCCTCTGCGTGCCAGCCCTCTGCGTGCCAGCCCTCTGCCTCAAGCCCTCTGCCTCCCAGCCCTCTGCCTCCCAGCCCTCTGCCTCTCAGCCCTCTGACTGTCAGACCTCTGCCTCCCAGCCCTCTGCCTTACAGCCTTCTACCTCCCAGCCCTCTGCCTGCCAGCCCTCTGCGTGCCAGCCCTCTGCCTGCCAGCCCTCTGCCTGCCAGCCCTCTGCCTCCCAGCCCTCTGCCTGCGAACCCTCTGCCTCCCAGCCCTCTCCCTGCCAGCCCTCTGCCTGCCAGCCCTCTGCCTGCCAGCCCTCTGCCTGCCAGCCCTCTGCCTGCCAGCCCTCTGCCTGCCAGCCCTCTGCCTGCTAGCCCTCTGCCTCCCAGCCCTCTGACTGCCAGCCCTCTGCCTCCCAGCCCTCTGCCTCCCAGCTCTCTGCCTGCCAGCCCTCTGCCTCCCAGCCCTCTTCCTGTCAGCGCTCTGCCTCCCAGCCCTCTGCCTGCCACCCCTCTGCCTCCCAGCCCTCTGCCTCCCAGCCCTCTGCCTCCCAGCCCTCTGCCTCCCAGCCCTCTGCCTCCCAGCCCTCTTCCTCCCAGCTCTCTGCCTGCCAGCCCTCTACCTGCCAGCCCTCTGCCTGCCAGCCCTCTGCCTGCCAGCCCTCTGCCTGCCAGCCCCCTGCCTGCCAGCCCACTGCCTGCCAGCCCTCTGCCTGCCAGCCCCCTGCCTGCCAGCCCTCTGCCTGCCAGCCCTCTGCCTCCCAGCCCTCTGCCTCCCAGCCCTCTGATTGTCAGCCTTCTGCCTCCCAGCCCTCTGCCTCCCAGCCCTCTGCCTGCCAGCCGTCTGCATGCCAGCCCACTGCCTGCTAGCCCTCTGCCTGCCAGCCCTCTGCCTCCCAGCCCTCTGCCTGCGAACCCTCTGCCTCCCAGCCCTCTCCCTGCCAGCCCTCTGCCTGCCAGCCCTCTGCCTCCCAGCCCTCTGCATGCCAGCCCTCTGCCTCTCAGCCCTCTGCCTCCCAGCCCTCTGCCTCCCAGCCCTCTGCCTCCCAGCCCTCTGCCTGCCAGACCTCTGCCTGCCAGCCATCAGCCTGCCAGCCCTCTGCCTCCCAGCCCTCTGCCTGCCAGCCCTCTGCCTCGCAGCCCTCTTACTCCCAGCCCTCTTCCTCCCAGCCCTCTGCCTTCCAACCCTATGCATCCCA